TAAGTAACAAAGGAATACAAATAATAAAAACTGCAGTACATGACACGCGATATAAAATAGTTTTTTCGATTCAATGAACGGTTGAAAGGGGTTGGAAGTAGCACTTCAAATATTTCACGTAACCTCGATCGAGTTTTTTAATTAATGAGAGACTGTAAAGCTTATCGTGTAACCTCGCGGGTCTTTGTGGAGTTCAGTGGAGCGTGCATGTAAGTCCTGTGAACTGTGAACCTTAAAAGGGCTAACCACCGTGCGCCCCGGCAAACAAAGCCGTTGTCGGCATGCGCGTCACCTCATTTTGTCAAACATCAATTACCAGGGCAAACAAGGCGGGATGGTGCTCTCGACCGGTGAACATTAAATACATGCACCGCCTTCAGCCATGCTGACACAATATCCGATATTTAATGGGCCGATCCCGTACCAAACAAATTCCGTTCAACACAAAAAGAAAACGTTTGTAAAAAAAACGTCTCCTTCAATGAAATTGGCAAATATATAAAGTTTATCACAATATACGTAAAAAAAAGACAGTATTGAACGAAGTTGTCATTCCTTTTGAGATAAGTGTATTTCTGAGTGTATATTTAAAATATAAAATTATTAGATCATAGATTCGTACTTCGGATCTCTCGGTATAATCGACTAAAATGTAAATCACTGAATAGTGATGTATGTTTCAAATATTTCTTGTCGATGAAGACAAATCGGGGAAGAGGTTCTAGAATCATTGAGAGGGAAATCTCGAAGGAATGAAAGAAATGTTCGAACTCCTCGATTTGAAAATTCAATACTGCAACAGTGTTAAAATTTCGATTGTCAACGAAATCCTCTTTAAAATTCAATCAAAGTCCCAACGATGTGTTACTCAAACGAAAACAGAAGCAAAAATGAGAGCAACCACGGCTGCAGAGTGTAATTATCACGCGCAAGTAGAATTAGCTTGACGTCATAAGAAAGATAAGTGTTCGGACGTGGGAGTTGGAGGTATCGGGCAATTAAAGCTGAGAACAGTATCGGGGTTGACACTTTTGGTACCCTCGGCCGGAAAACGCGAGAACCGGGGCTAATGGTTACCTCTCATCTGTCTAATTGCACGGAATGGGGCATCTCGCGAGACAAACGATGCAACATAAAAGAGACTAGCCTCCTCGCACCCTTTACTCCAATTTCGCGAGCATTGAGTGGGCTGAAAGACAGGATGTCGGTGCAGGTTGCATTGTACGCGTAAAAAAAAAAAAAAAAAAAAAAAAAGTGGAACACTGGTCTCACCAATACAGAGACTGCCGCGTGAACCGTGGACATAACTGAATAATAATCCCATAAATTCCCTCCTCGATGGAAAGCAAGATATAAGATTGAAGTTGCAGATAAGATCGAAATTTGCATTCAATCAGTTTCCTTTTTTTTTTTT